TTCTCCCAAAACCTAGTTTCTTGATCACATTGCTGCGCGGTTATAGGGCTAGAAACCAGGTTTCGTTCTCCCAAAACCTAGTTTCTTGATCACATTGCTGCGCGGTTATAGGGCTAGAAACCAGGTTTCGTGCTCACAAAACCTAGTTTCTTGATCACATTGCTGCGCGGTTATAGGGCTAGAAACCAGGTTTCGTGCCACGAAACCTAGTTTCATGGCAAGAACCCTGGTTTCTTGAGCAAGAAACTAGGTTTTGTGAGCACGAAACCTGGTTTCGTGCGAGGAACCGTGGTTTCTCGAATTATGATACAAATGGCTTGCCATAAGCGTGCGCTTATCGCAATTCCATCTCAATGATAGACACGCATCTTACTTTGTTAATTCTTCTTCACCGCTTCCCACTTTAGTCTGTCCCCTTTATTATTTTGGCACCGACGTCATCTGTCATTGTTCCGTACGTGGTCCCCTTCAGAGAAACCGTTCGTCGAGGTGGGTGGACTCAGAGACATCGTCGTCAAGGCTGGACAGGAATTCAACATCACGGTTCCGTACAGCGGCTTCCCGCGGCCGGCGGCCGTCTGGGAGCGGCACGGACAGCAGATAGAGCGTTCCGAACGCGTCATCATGGAGGTGAGTTCATGCTTCACGGAGGAAGTCGCTGCATCAACAACGAACCTAGTGTTGGTAATCATTGCTAATAATACAGACGTGTTAACGGCAGCGCCGGCCTATTCCGCTACGATTCGTGATTCGACCTGCAGAAAAAATGGATCGAATCAACTAACAATCGATTACGTGCGTGCGTAATCGATTTAAGAATCGATCCTGTATACGCTTTCTGGGTCGCTGCCACTCACGCCATGCTTGCGGGCTTTCGTGCTGCTCACAGATGACGGGTACGGAGTGCATTCTGGACACGATTCGCGCCGAGGGAGGAGACAGCGGCTCGTACCGCCTCACGCTCACCAACCCGTCCGGCTCACACAACGTCAGCGTCAACGTGACCGTGCTGGACCGACCAGGCCCGCCCGAGGCGCCGCTCAGAGTCACCGACATCGATGCCGACGGCTGCACGCTGTCATGGATGCCGCCGCGCGAGGACGGAGGAGATCGGGTGCGTAGTGCGCATGCGGGTGCAATGGAAATTTTTATATGGTGTAGTTTAGAATTATTGGCAGTGCACCAAGCGCCAGAGTAGTTTGGTATAGCAATGCTTTGATTTCCCTTACATTTCTTGTGGATATTACTAAGCTATTATATATTGTATACCTACATGCATAATAAGCAATTCCATAAATTTCCAACTAATCATAATAATAATATTAAATAAATAACCACAAATGGAAATTGAACTGTTGTTGCCTGCACTGTTATGACAAATGCACATTTGACTTCCTATTCATCTTTTTCTGGCTTTTGTAACTGCCCATGTCAACGCACTCACGGCGCTGTTGCCAACTGTGCACGCACTGCGTAGCTGCTAACCCGCTAAGATGCATTAGCACATACTACATGTACTACACTACGTAACTGCTGTAGTATAAAATCGCACGTTCATGAGCTATATATTCTATAATCTTCTATAATTTTCACATCGGAATAGACTAACTTAAAAAATGGTAAATTGAATTGGAGAATAAAACGGTTCCGGCTTATTTATTTCTCACTCACATGCATAAAAGCTGTGATAGATCATCTTTATAAACCACACGTATACAGGTTTCGAGCTACACGGTTGAGAAGAGGGAGGGTTACGGCGAGTGGACGAAGGTGAGCAGCTTCGTCGCGGACACGGTGTGCCGCGCGCGCAGCCTCAAGACGGGCGCGCAGTACGAGTTCAGCGTGCGCGCAGAGAACAGCTACGGCATCAGCGACCGCCTCGTCACCGACAAGCTCGTCGAGATCAGGAGTCCTTACGGTAGGAACACTGCAGCTGCGCAACGTAGGATTCACCTAGCTTAATGTCACTTAGCTGAGCTTTGCTTAGTTGCTGGGTTTCACCTAGCTTACTTTTATTTAGTTGGTGGGCTTCAACATAGCTGAGCTTCACTCAATTGTTTTGATTTACTTAGCTGTGCTTTACTTATCTGGGCTTTACTTAGCTGTGCTTTACTTTCTTGGGCTTCATTTAGCTGGACTTCGCTTAACTGGGCTTCACTTAGCTGCATGGGCTTCACTTAGCTGGGCTTCACTTGGCTGGGCTTCACTTAGCTGGGCTTCACTTAGCTAGGCTTCACTTAGCTATAGAATTGCAGAGCATAGCATAGCGTAGCATAACATAGCATAGCATAGCGTAGCATAACATAGCATAGCATAGCATAGCAAACTCAATGAAACCTATGCGTTAGGCATAATATAATAGGCTAAACACGATAACAGCTCTGTGTCAGCGATTCACCGCGCCGCGGCGCTATCATCTACGTGCAGGTGACCGGTTACATGGTTGAGAAGAGAGAGGGCGCCACTGGCTCATGGGTGGACGCGCTAGACTATACGACGTCAGAGAAGCGCAGCACGGTGCAGGACTTGACCAGCGGTCACGACTACACGTTCCGCGTGCGCGCAGAGAACAGCGTCGGCCTGTCCGAGCCCAGCAACCCGTCACGCTCGGTCGTCGTCGGCGAGGAACCAGGTGAGCTGAGCCGACTGCGCGCAGCGGCATCGCGCTTTGCGCACGCACGCGTGTATGTACGTACGCTCACATACGCACCGCGCATGCGTTTATGTACATATACGCACATACGCACGGGCGCATGTATTTGCGTACACGCACATACGCACCGCGCGCGCATTTATGTACATATACGCGCACACGCGCGCATGTATGTATGTTCTAACACACACGCACACACGCACGCATTTATGTACATATGCGCGCATACGCACATACGCACGCACCCATGTGTGTACGTATACACGCACCGCGCGCGCATTTATGTACATATAGGTGCATACGAACGCACGCATGTATGTACTTACACGCACATACGCACCGCGCGCACATTTATGGACCTATATACGCACACACGCACACGCGCATGCATGTATGTATGTACAAACACACACGCACATACGCACGAACATGCTTACACGTACATACTATCCAGCACGCACGTGGGCACATGTGTGTGTACGCTTGCATACACGCTTAAGTACACTCGCCTACACAAGCGCGCGCACATGGACGCATGCTTGCATTCACGCGCATGCACACGCACATGCGTGGCCACACCCAAGCGTGTATGGCAAGCCATTTGTATCATAATTCGAGAAACCACGGTTCCTCGCACGAAACCAGGTTTCGTGCTCACAAAACCTAGTTTCTTGCTCAAGAAACCAAGGTTCTTGCCATGAAACTAGGTTTCGTGGCACGAAACCTGGTTTCTAGCCCTATAACCGCAGTTATAGCTGGAATCTTAGTTTCGTAGCTGGCTTCACTTAGGCTGGGCTTCATTAGCTCGGGCTTCACTTAGCTGCATAGGCTTCATTTATCGCTGGGCTTCATTAGCTGAGTTTACGGTTATCTGGGCTTTATGCTTAGGGGCTATGCTTTACTTATTCTGGGGCTTTTTACTTAGCTTATGGCTTTACTTACTTGGGCTTTATTTTAGCTGAACTTCATTTAGCTGGGCTTCACTCTTAGGCTGCATGGGCTTCCTTAGCTGGGCTTTCAACTTAGCTGGGCTTCGACTTCGCTGAGGGCTTTAGCTTAGCTGGGCATAGCGTTCCACTTAGG